TATCTTAAAGGCCTGTTGGATGTCTAGGGTTTTTCTACCCTGTACTTTCTTGCTCATGAATCTTACCTCTCAATTAATGTTGTATAAACTTGAACCACGGTCAACTCCCAAACATCTACCTTTATGGAGATACCTTGTGGCACAGATAATCTGAAAGTCATTTACTTTCTAGAACATTCCACTTACTCAAAAACTACCTGTCTCACAATGCCTGCAACATAATAAAGGCTTCATAAACAGCTGTTGACTGACCAGCAATGCACAGCTAAAAATGAAGGAAGGAAGCCAAAAAGAAAAGAAAAAAAAAAGATATCTGAATAGCAGAAATAGATATCCTTAAAGCCTGTACATTATACCTCAGGCAATTTGCCCATAGAAAGGTCCATCAGCACTTCATTCTGAGCCTATTTACTCCTATTTTCCATACAGTTTTGACACATTTGGTCACTAATTTCTTTGCCCATAAGAAATAAAAGCAATAAGTTGGGGATGAGGAGGAGAATGGAGTACTGAAAGAAGAGACATATTGACAGCAACTAATGTGGAGGAGACAAAGAAACTGTAAAAAAACTGGAGCATGGCTTCAAAAAGCTCAATAATCTTAGGCCATTTAATGTAGGGGCAAAATAGTTGATAAGACTATATTTGTATATTATGCCACTAGTATCTATCATATTTGACAGTTAATCAGATACAGTCCTATAATGTCTTCTGTATTATTGCTGTGTTATTATTTAACTTTTCATGTATGTATCCCCTCAAGGAGATACACACATGTGTGTGTCTCCCTAAAGGAAATGTACAGTCTTCATGATCATAGATTGATTGGATCTCATGCATTTCTGCATTCCACAGAGCACTTTACCCTTGCCGTGTACCACAGTGGTAAACACTCTGGCCTCTAGCATTCCCAAAAGTTTAGGAGTCATTCTTAATTATGATTCCTCAGAAAAGTGGGGTACCTGAGATATTCTCCAGCCAACCAGCTTTGCCCAGAGGGCTGGGTGAGGTAGATGCTCTGGGTAGGTCTTCTAACTCCTGCCCTGAAATGGAATTTTGCCTCTAAGATCAATGAAACATGTAGCCAAAGGGTGAGAATTTGAGAGGAAGTTGACCTGGGAACCCCTTCCTGAGGGTGACGGAGAGGAAGCAGCATCTCAAATACTAGTCTGGGGATGGAGCTGGCCAGCTTATCAGAGTGTCCAGCCCAGAATTCCACTAGACTTTTCCAGCTGAGAAGAGTCTCAGCTCTGAGAGTCAGAGGGGCACAGAGCTCTTTCCTATGCCAAAGCCCAAAGAGAGGGGTCTCAATACAGGTTATTTGCCCCTTTGTGATTCAGGCTGAGTCTTCATTGCCAAAGCTGTGGCCTTAGGCCCTACTTTTAGTGCTTAGAGGTCATCTGGTCCCATCACCATTATTTTAGACATGAGGAAGCTGAGTCCCAGAAAGGGCCATTGGTGATAAAGTTATGAAGGCTTCTTATCTTCTTGAGCAGGAATTGTGGTACTGAGGTAGTCAGAGGCCCCTCTCAGCAGGAAGCCTGGATCCTTTCAGAGAGCCAAAGAACCCATGTTTCAAGAGGAAGCCTTTCCTGGGAGGAGAGAATTGTGATGGCCTGACCCAGTCAGCTCCAGGGAAGCTATCTTGTCCTGGTCAGAGATTGAAGAAGAGGGGAAACGAGGCTGAACCTCCCCCTAAACAGTTTAGAAAGAGAGAGACCAGCAGGGTGGTACAAAGCTCCATGGAGAGAAATGCAAGACTCTGGTCCCATTGCCTTGCTCAACCCTTTGAGCCTCTGACTGCTCCAAAGAGGAGCATTATAGCCATTAATGTTAAAGCAGGAAGTAACCTAGGTTGAGGTAGTAAGGTGGCACAGTGGATTGAGCACTGGGCCTGGAATCAGGAAGACTCATCATCATTAGTTCTAATCCTGCCTCTGACACTTCCTAGCTGTGTGACCTTGGGCAAGTCACCTCATCCTGTTTGCCTCAGTTTCTTCATCTGTAAAATGAGCTGGAGAAGGAAATGGCAAACCACTCCAGTATCTTTGTCAAGAAAACCCCAAAAGGAGTCATGAAGAGTCAGACACCATTAAAATAAAACAACAGCCATATAGATTAACCCCTTTCAAATGAGGAAACTGAGTTCCCAGAAAGGTACTGCATCCCAGTGATCCCAGGGTCATACAGTAAGTTACTGGCAAGATCAGGACAAGAAAAAATCTAATTCACAGGACAAGATGGGTCTCTTAGTCTAGTGCACTTTCTACAACATGCCTTTGGAGTAGTATCTTCCTGTCCACATTTATTCTGAACATGGCCAAATAACAACGCCTTAGATTTAATTATAGGTCTCTCATTCCTACTTTTCATGCTCACCTTTCCTGGCCCCCAATCCGCAAACCCACTTGCTGCCCACCTTTGATAATAATAGTTAGCATTTATATAGCATTTCACAGTTTGTGAAGCACTTTACAAATATTATCTCATTTGATCCTTATAACAATCCTAGAAGCCGATATTATCACAACTTAACAGATGAGAAAATAGAGGCAGACAGAGGTTAAGTGACTTGTCCATGGTCTCACAACTAATAAATGTCTGAAGTAGGATTTGAACTCAGGTCTTTCAAACTCCAGGTCCATTGTGCCACCTAGTGCTTCCCAGACTACTCACCTACCCCCACCCTAAGGAAAGCAGAGAATCGTGACATTCTCTGAGCTGACTTAATTTGTGCTTAACCTAAGGTTCATGAACTTGTGGGGAGTTTTAAAATGCTACATACAAAACAATCAGTTTCCTTTGTAATCCTATGTATTTTATTTTACACATTTAAAAACATTATTCTGAGAAGGCATCACCAGATTGCCAAAGGGATCTATGACACAAAAATGGCTAAGAAACTCTGATATTGATGGAGAAGGAAGGAAAGGTGGTAAACACAAAATCTGTATAAAAAAGGGGGAGGGGCCATGTTCAGTATGTCCAGACCATCAACCTGCAGCACAATACCCTTCTGTCTTGCCATGCCAAAGGATCCAGTCATTTCTGGGCTGGTTATCTCTTCTGAGTCTGCAAAGTATCTAAGAGAAAAAAAAACTTGAGCAACTTCAAATCTTCCTCATCTCATCCATTCTATACAAACAATCTGCTTTCTTCCATCTTCAGGGTCATTATTAACTCCTCCGATTTGTGAGAGCTGGATAGGTCCTCAGAAATCATATAGTCCAATCCCCTCATTTTACCATGAGGAAACTGAGACCTAGAGAAGGGAATAAAGGGACTTGACAACTTTTGAAGTCTTTTCACTTGATGTGACAAAGTGAGGAGGAAAGATCGTACACACACACACACACACACACACACACACACACACACACACACCCAGAAATGTGTTTGGAAACAACCTTTTTGTTTATAAGGTTACAGACAGAAAGTTTGTTTCCAAGTTGTTTTACTAACACATTGCCCGAGTGCCTAGACCAAGCTGTCCAAAAAAAAAAAAGTCCAATAGCCATTTGAAAAAGTTTAGCTCAAATTTCCTTAACAGATTCTCTCTTGGGTTTATTCCACCTTAATCCTATCAAAAGTAGCATGCAGCCCCATAGCTAGTTAATCAGTAAAGACTTGAGCTCTCTGACCTTCTCCACCCCTTTCTGTAGGACTAAGAACTGGCATTCCATCATGCCCCATGGTCCTGCCAGCACACACAGACTGCATCCCTATTCTTGGCATCACCTACCCAACTCCAGCAGCCAGGCCAGTGTGAGGAAAAGGTAGTGAGTACTATTTGGGGAAGCAATGGACGATTTTATCCCAAATCCCAACGGAAAGTAATACACAGTCCCTTTGGCCATCAAAGGAGTTGACATCATTTATGAAGCCATCTTTGGCACATACTTTCCCAGGCACTTCTTGCAAACATTATCTCACTGGATCTTCCATTGGTAGGATCCAACGCTATATTATTACCTCTGTGCTACAGATGAGGAAACTGAGGCCTGAAAGAGTTTGTGTGACTGGCCAATTTCACACAATGCGATCCTCGGACTAAAGCCTAGATCTCCCTACTTCCAGTTGAGTTCTCCTTTGCAAGGCACCATAATAATCCTCTTCTTTCCCTCTTAACCCCTTCCTATATCACGATGGAAAAGCAGAAAGCGACACCGCTTAGAAATAAACCTTGCTTCTCATCTCATTCTCTTCCATCACCCAAGGCTCTGACCCCTGTCTTGTCTCACCAAGCCCTTCAAAGGGTTCCCCTTTTCCCACTCCCCCCACCGCACCCCCGACCACCTGTGGACCCTCGGAAAGACGCTGCTCCCGAGCGGAATCAGAGCTCCCAGTGAAGCAAGGGGAGGCCGGCTTTCTGAAGTCTAGAGGCTCTCCCTCATTCTGTGGGTTACCCTGGAGCAAGGAGAGCAATTCTCTTGAAATGACAGTCAGCCCCTCCCCGGGACCTGCTGAGAGGTGTGCGGGAGGCATGCAGCCACACATCCACTGACACGCACCGGCCAGCCTTAGAGCGGACCACGGAGCTGGCCGCCCGAGTCCTCAAGGGGTTAAAAATGCAGTATCCGAGGCGAGGAGTCACTTTCCTGGGTGCCCAGCCAGGGGGTTGTCCTCGCACCCATCCCACTCCCCTTGCCGGGTCACGACAAAGCTGTTTCCTTGCACCCACTCTCCACTCATCCGGGGCGAAGGAGTGGAATTGCTTGGCTTTGAGGAGGTGGGCATGGGAGTGGGTGAGAGAAGACCGCTAGCAGAGAGGGGGCTGGGGGGGGAGTGCACGCTGCACCTTTAAGACAGAAGACACCCATGTCATCGCAAAAGCAAGCCAGCAGCAGAGGACTTCCTTCCCTCCCCTTCCCTCCACTGCCCTGCCCTCTCCTCCAGCCTGCACCCTGCGTCCGCAGTCCAGTTGCCCCTACATCCCGAGAGCTTCCCCACTGCCGGGGCAGCCCGGCTCCCATAGGGCCGGGCTGGTGGAAGACGCTTACCTTTGTGACAGTCATGCAGAAAGTCTGGGGGAAGTCGCCAAGGTTTCCCGAAGCCCAAGGGTGGCGGAGAGGGAGGGGGTGGCGGGATGGGGGGCGGGCAGCCCACTTCTTGCGCGCTCCTGCTCGCTCTGGATTTCCGCCCCCTCCTGCCTCCTCAGCTCTTGCGGATGCGGGAGGCTCGCCCGAGTGAGGAAGCGAGCGGAGCGAGGGGGAGCGCAGAACTGCGGCGGTGTCTGCCCCGCAGAGGGCTCCGTGGCGGCGTCAGTGGCTACGGGCAGAGCGCAGAGCGCAGAGCAGAGTGGAGGGGAGCGGAGCGAGGGAGGGAGGAAGATGGGGGAGGGGAGGAGGGAACGCGGGGGAGGAGGAGTGGGGGAGGGGGGAGGGACCACCCCTCGGAATCTGATTAAGCTGTCCTCGCGGCTCACTCTGGCAGCGGCGGTGATGTCAGTACAGTATGTGCATTTATAATGGATGAGCCTCCTTCGCCACAGGAAGGCGAGACAGGAAGAAAGAAAGAGGGCCCAAGCTGGAGGGTGTGGGGGGAGGCAGGAGAGAGGAAGAAAGAAGGATAACCTAGGAAACTACAAAGGGGGAGGAAAGGGGAAAGCGCATACATGCACACACAGAAAGAGAATAAACCATAGTGATAGCTGGGCAGTCCCAGGAAATCCTAATCCGCTCTCAACCAGGGGAGAGAAGGCCGGATGACTTAACTCTTTCGGGACTGGGATCAGCCCTCGGAGCCCGGGACACCTGCTGGCCCCCGAGAGGTAGAAACTGGGGTCCTGCTTGTTTTAGCATCTCCTCTACTAGTCGGTCTAGTCACTAGATTAGTTGTTCGGGAAGCCGTGCGCACTAAATGACAGGAGATGAGCCCTAAGCCTGGAAGAACTGGCTTCTCGGGAGCTGCTTCCCAGCTGTAGAAGCTGCGGCTATCCGCCTGGCTCCTTGGGGTAGCTGGGAGCCAAGGGAGGCTTTGCCTGAGCCTCAACACTCATGGTGGTGCAAATGCAAAGGGATGTACGATTAACTTACATGGATTTAATCTCCAGGAGGATGATTTTCCTCTGAGACAGATGCCTGCTGAATGCTAGGAGACAGAAACTTCCCACTTGCAGTTCAATTTGAGATGAGAGCTAACCCAAAATATATATATCCCAATGTGGATTATGAAGTTTTTACGGTCAAATTTGACTTGGCATAGTGGATAGAAAGTTGGCCTCTGAGTCAGGAAGAAAACAGTTCAAGTCAAGCCCCTTATTTGTATTGACTGGGTGACCCAGGGGCAAGTCACTTAACCCTTCAGTGCCCCCAGACAACTCTCTAAGACTTCAAATCACCCAACAGCGACAGACCCTGCATGGATACTGGCAGTTTTCCCACTGAAAGTTCTATACACCGATGAAATCATGGGTCCAGACCGCTCATTTCCCCCCAAACCCCACAAGACAGAACAAAAATCTGCATATAATCAGGGATGGAAGATGAAGAGGCTGCTTAGTATCCCTATATCCATAAAACTGAGGGAGATGGCCCCTACAAAGCATGTGATGTCTGAGTTGATTATTAGTGATAATAGCACACACAAAAAGATACTGAAGATACCCCACCCGAAGACGTTGTACCAAATATAGACATTGAAACTACCTTTCCCCTCCAAAGAATAAACCATGAAATGATTTTTTAAAACCCTTCAAATAACAGGGTCCTTAGTGGCCATAAGGGACAATTAGGTGGTGCAGTGGATAGAGTGCCAGGCCTAGAATCAAGATCTGAGCTCAAATTTGATCTCAGACACTTCCTAGCTGTATGACCCTGGGCAAGTCCCTTAATGCTGTTTGCCCCAGTTTCTTCATCTGTAAAATGAGCTGGGGAAGCAAATGGCAAACCACTCCAGTATCTTTGCCAAAAAAATACTAAATGAGGTCACTGAGGAGTCTAACGACTGAAAACAACTCAACGGCAACAAGGAAAGTATCCATAGGAAGATGGTCAATATGGCAAGTGCCCTGAAGACGGTGCCGTCTCAGCATTGGGTGAAGGAACTTGATGTATATTTAGGCTGAAGAGTAGAAGACACAAGGGTGGTGAGACTGCTGCTCTTCCGTGGAATGTAATCTACCTGAGGGCAAAGACTTCCCTTTTTTATTTTTGTATCCCCTGCAAACCAATACACATTAGGGCAGGGTTGGTGCGAAGAGGGGAGGGGAGAGACTTGGGGTTTTGCAGGTTTTGGGAACCCCCAATAAGGAAACTCCTCTCAGTACAGATCGGCATCCACTCTGGAATTTCTAGGTTTAAAGTAGAGGTTCTTGACTGTCGATAAATTTCAGGGGGGGCCACAAATGTGCATGGGAAAAAAATGCATCTTTATTTTCACCAACCTCTACCTTAAGTTCAGCATTTCCTTCAATTAGGCTTCATCAGATTGCCAAAGAGTTCCGGAATTGCCTGGAGTACTAAGAGGTTAAGTGGCTTGCCTGGAGTCCTAGCGTCATAGATTTAGAGCTTCCAGAAATCTCCATAGGTCATCAAATCCAATTCCCTCGTTTTAGAAAATTGGAGTCCAGAAAGGTTAATCGATTTGCCTAAAGTCACACGGCTAGCAAGAGTCCAAGGTGAGCAGGGAAACCCAGGTTTTTCAGGTTCTAGATCCAGCACTCATCTATACAATGAAGCTCCACAGGGTCATCTCAGAGGTGAGACTCATATTCAAGTTTTCTTGACTCTAAAGCCAACTCTATCCCACATGCCTCCCATGTTTAATTGAATTGTGCGAGCAGGGCAAGAAGAATCATTTCTTCCCCGGCAAGGCAGTTATGGCCAGTCTCTGTGCTGGGGAGGAACAAGGCCAAAGAGGAAGTTTACCTGAAGGGTTCAGCATTTTTCTCAGGCTCAAAGGCACTAGCATATGGCTCCAAAAGCACATACTAAAATTAAAAATAAACAAACAAATCCTTCCTTTACTAAGTGCCAGAGTGGATAGAGTGCTAAACTTGAAGGTAAGTCACTGAACTTCCATGGCCCTCAGTTTCCTTATCTGTAAAATTAAGGACACAGGCTAAATTACCTTTGAGGTCTTGTCCAGTTCTAGATCTGTGATCCTAAGAATTTTTCAAACAGACTCCTGTCTCATTGAGCTTCTCTTGCCTTCTCACGAAGCATACCCTGGCACCTCTGTCATCTCTTAACATACATTAGGCATGAACCATGTTCCTAAATTGGACTGTATGCCCCTAAATTGGGCAAGGCAGTGTGGGAACAGAAAAAGGAGGAAACAGTCCCTGCACTCAAGAGCTTTTAGGCTCATCTTCAGCGTCAAAAGAGCCTTGCTGGGAAGCAAATATCCCCTCCTCCACATCCATATGGAGTTTCAAACTTTGATTCCAAATTTTGAAGACGTGCTAGGAATTACAAAATTGGTAAAGTTTGTTTTCAGCGCCCCCGGGCTCCCTGGTCTTTGTTCTTTTCATGCTTCCCTGGTCTTCCCCTTCCCTAGCTGCCCATGGCCCTCAGGCTCTCTTCCCCCCGGTTCTTCTAAAGCTACTCTCAGGAAACTTAGTAATAAATTCATTCAAATGGGGCTAATTTACAAATGCTTAATGCAATACCCTTCCCAGGGGATGTATGTTTCTCTGGGATAGAATCAGCCAAAGAAATTAAGTTATAATGGCAGTCTCAGAATCAGCCAATGGGTGGAGAATTGTCAGGAAGAGAGGAGGGGGAGGAGAAAGGAGAGAGGTGATGCCTTCCTCCTCTGATCCCTGAAATTCTACCATGTAGTTGTCCAGCTACTACACTTTCAGGTGTGGCTGGCCTTTCTCCAAGGTATTTTAAAGGAATTATTTTGAAGTAGTTTGAGTCCTATTTTCCCCAGGACTTCTGTCGTGTGCATTACAGGAATCTCTTAGGACTAGAAAATTGGGTGCTTCTTATTGACTTCCATACCCAGAATTGATTGCCCTTTTGAATCAGTAAGAGCTCTTATAAAAATCTAACAGGTACGTAGGTAAATAATCATTGTTTCCTGAACTAAAGAATGGGATGGGAGGTTGGGGGCAGGGGGAGAAGTGTTTCCTTCTGTTTAACCTACTTACTTCATAAGGTTATTAGTGGAGTCCAATGAGATAAAGGAGAAAATACTTTTAAAAGTTATAAATCTTGCATGAGTATATAGCTATGTTTTCCTCCTGTAGTCCTGAGATTAGGTATAACATTCTAACTGAACCCTACTAAGCTGTGTGATCTCAGGCAAGAACCTTCTCCTCTCTTAGCCTCAGTTTCCTTATTTGTAAATGGAAGTATTTGGACTAGATGATCTCCAAAACCTCATCCAGAGCTAGCATTATGTAATTCTATGACAGAGCAATAAGTACTTTGCATTAAATGCAAAGATTTCCCAGGCAATGAGGATGGCAAGCATTAGAAGGACGGAGCTGGTAGAGACTGTTTCTCTTTGAGTCAGATTCCAGACTGCTTAGGTTTAGTTGTGTTTCAGCCCAAGCACTTGGGGATGGACTATATGACCTCTTGAGATCTAGTCGAGCCTTAGGGATCCTATGTAGACCCATTGCTCAGTAACTTGAAAAGTTCAATTGATTTTCAGTATCCATTTGTGAATTATTCTTTTATCTGTAACGAATGTCTAAAATCCCAGATTGTTTCTCTCCTCCCCCCACTACCCAGCATGGTACTTGGCCACCTTTCCCACCATCAGTCAGCGGATGTACTCAAGGAATGCAAATTCATGTTCGTATCAGTCTGAGCCAAACACAATTAGTCTGCTGTCCTGGAATCATATGATGTACTGTAAAGGCAAAAAGAAAAAAGTACTTTTATTTATTCAATGCCTTGTATTATCTGCACCACAAGCTCCCTCATCTCCATCCCAGCCAGCCAAGTAGTTTGCACAAAGAGAAGCAACCACAACATATCTATTTATTTCACTTACTCTCCCCCTAAACAAACAAATCCAAATATCTCCTCGTTTCTAAAGGTGCATTTCTGACATAGTGATAGGAGAAGCCATGTAGTCTAGTAGAATGTATTTCCCTTGAGGGGAGAGAATGCATAAAGTTTATTATATCTTTGTATCCCCCAGCACCAGCATCATTTCTTTTACATGGTAGGCACTAAATAAATACTTGCTGCATTTGAATTATTATTAAATGATGCAATGGGAAGAGCACAGATCTTGGAATCAGAAAAACCGAGCTCAAGTAGCTTTGCTACTTAATTACCTGTGTGACCTTTGGTGAGTTACTCAGCTTCTCTGGGACCTCAGTTTTCCTTATCTATAAACTACCAGGGCTAGTCTAGATGGTCTGTATGGTT